AAAAAAAAAAAAAAAAAAGTATCCCAATTGGATAAGTTATATGTTCACCCTAATCATAAGCCTGGGCTCAGGAATGTCCCCTGCATCCTGCTGCAGCACTGAAAGGGACTGTAAGTGTTTGGTGATGTTGGTACTGAACTCTGCTGGGAGCCATTTGCATTGAATTCTGTTGATGTCTCTACTGAACTCTGGGTTGAGAGTTACAGTGTGAAGATAGTTTTTTGGTTTTTTTTTCCTCTCCAGAAGTATTTTTCTTTTGTTATTTTTCTATGGATTTACCCTACCACATTTTCCCTTCCTTTGGAAAAGAAGGAGTTCCTCGCTTGGATCCTCCGGCTACACCACACGTACAGCCAGTGCAACACATGAGACCTGGATTATCTGCTTCTGCCTGGAGTTTTGGTGGAGGAATGTGACAGTGATGGCCGTGTGAGGGGTAGTAAGCAGAGGCTTTTAGTGTCAATGTGGATGTTGTTAATGGAGATGGACTCTGCACGTAGATTCAGAAAAACCTTTCTTGAGGGAAAGATCACATCAGATCTAACCTCTCTCCAAGGTATATATCAGGACACTTACCACTGTCTCGTTCATCTTGCTGAATGGCATTGTACAGAGCATAAAAGCCTGTGTTGGTGATCATGGCGTCACTTCTGAACACTGCAGTCATGATGTTTGAAGAGGACAGGAAGCTGAGCTCAGCCCCAGCACAGAACCTGCCCATGGAGAGTGAGGCAACTTGCCGGCCATCAAACACTTCGATGAAATCGTAAGGGCACCCATAGATGTCTTCTAATCTGAGGACGTAAAGCCAAAGTTAATCTCCCCAAAGGAAGGTGCAGAAACTTTTCAAATGAGACCTATCATTTACTTAACATCCAGCCAGAAACTACAGTCATCCCTGCCACCTCCTCTTCCAACCACATATCATCCCCACCAGCCGCCATGTCCGGGTGATTCTACCGCTTAAACATCTCTTGAATCTGCCTTGCTCTCCTTCTGACCTTCATCATTGCTCACCTAGTCCATTTCACTGCCCTCTCACCTGGCTTCTTGGCTTTCAATCTTTCCCTTTGCATTCCTCCTTCCTCTCTGCCTTGAGTATTGACTTTTTAACGTGACCAGTTTGCTTGCCTTCAAACTCTACCTCCAAAGTGAAACTCAAACGTCTAGTTTTGCCTATGACATCATTTTCACCTGGCCTAACTAACTCTAGTTCCATCTTCTTGCCCCCTGACATTTATCATGTTGCTTGATTTGCAGACATATTGGTCAACACACATGGCTCTCAATGGTCACACGGTACTTGCCTGCCCATTCTTTAAGGCCCTATTCCAACGTCACCACTTTGTGACACTGTCGCCAGTTCATCTCTTCCTCCACCCAGATTGAGTTAGTCCTCTTTTCTCTGTGTGAAGAGCATGGGCTCTGTAGTTACAGTACCCACTGCCATTGAGTCGGATCAGACTCATAAGGACCCCTCCTTGGGTTTCCAAGGTGGTATCACTATGGAAGTAGATTGCCCAACTTTCCTTCTGAGGAGTGGCTGGCGGGCTTGAACTGCCAGCCTTCTGGTTAGCAGTCAAATCCTTCCCACTCCTCCACTTACTAGCTGTGTGACCTGGGATTTGTTTGCAAATCTATAAAATGTTCAGTGAGGCTGAAACAAGATGCCACAGTCTTTAGGTGCATGATCACAGTGGTAGTCCTGACCATTGCACGTAGCATACTATGTTACCATGGCCTGTTTACTGCTCTGTCTGTGGGTTGGGTGGCTGGTTAGATATTGGAATGAGTAGAAGGGTGAAACTTTTACTTTAATGGCTGGTACCAGAATTTCCTTAGGCAGAGAGCTATTCTTGTTGAGGGAGATAAATGATAGACTATTTTAGGAATGGAAGAGGAGGTTTGTGGGTGCGGGCTTAAAGGAGACAAGGAAACAAAGGGGTAGAAAATATGCTGTGCATAAAATGTGAATAGAAATTTGGGGGTGGAGATGAGCAGGAGAGAGAAGAGAGGGAAACATAAGAGAAGAGAGAGGGTTGAAATTCAGAGAGAGGCTTGAGTCTGCAGAGAGAGGTGGCCCGTGAGAAACTCTGAAGGGAGGTGATTGAAAAAGAGCTTTGAAGAACAGAGGTGACTAATCAATTTTAAGTCATTTGCATTCGTGTAGTGTATGGTCCTCTCTTCCATCACCCCAAATCTTAACTAACTGCCGACCAACTCTCAGTGCCCTGTGTGAGTGGGGATTTTGGTGTGGAGGGTGCGTGTGGGTGGAATAAAGAAAGGTAGTGTGTTTCCCATACGGATCAGTGTAGGGCAGAGAGGAGAGAACAGCCATTGGAGGGAGACTCTAGCAAGACTGTGGTTTCCATGTGGAGAGGAAATTGAAACAAGAAATGATTGTGAGAATGTAAACTTCTGGGAATTTGAAGAAATCTTAGGGAGGACTTTGGATTCTGCACTGGATGTAGGTGGAAGGAGGTGGTTCAAGTACAAATTATGTAAATCTTAAAGTGTAGGTGACTTCAGAGGAGCTCTAGTGGCATAATGTCTAAGGCATTTGATGCTAACCAGAAGGTTGGCTGTCCAAACCCACCAGCCACTCCATGGAAGGAAGACTGTGCAATCTACTTCTGTAAAGATTCATCACCTCAGAAACACAAAGGGGGTTGCTATGAGTCAGAATCGACTCAATGTCAGTGAGTTTGGTTTATTTTTTTTTGAGGTGACCTCAGGTGATGCTGGTTTACAGCTGGTTAAGTGAAAAACAGCCCCTTGTCTTGGAAGAAACAAACAAATCAGGGCTAGTTAATCTGTAGAAGAAAGATCTTAGGGACATGGTGCTCATCCCTGAAGGGAAGAGGAACTAGGTTAGTTTTGCGTACCAGCTGAGGGAAGAATGAAGAGTGGCCAGTAGGAGGAAGGAACTGGCTGAGTGTGTGAGGTTTCCATGGCTGGGTGTGGTGGTTATGTTTTTGTGTCAACTTGGCTGGGCCTGGTTGAGTGGCTGGGCAGCTGGATGTAGGATTCCCCATCATGAGGCTGGTAATCAACTCCATGGTGGAATCTACTGTGAGCAGCTGAGTAGCTGCCTTAGGGAATGTGGTCTGCTTCCTGTATATAAGCAGAACCCTTGGGGAATGGTCTCTAGCCTATGGCACGCTTGGACCCTGCATGTAGCCGTGTCATTGCTCAGCAGCCTGCTGTGCTCTGCCGACCTTGGGACTTACAATGGACTTACGTTAATGGCCTGCTGTGTGGTTTGGTAACATCAGGACTGTGCCTTTTGACTTGTCAACCTTGGGGCTTCTCAGCCTCAGCAGCCAGCAGCTGTCTGAGTGAAGAAACACCTCTAGCTCCGGTGGGCTAGGAGCAGGAGGCAGAGCTGGACCTCAAGGTTGAGGGGCTTATACCCAGCCCCTAGAGCCTGGCACTTTGAACTTGGACTTGAAGCCTCCAAATTGTAAGAATAAACTCCTGTTTGTTAAGACCATCCCATTTGTGGTATATATTTCTTGTCAGAGCGGCGCTAGGGAACCAGAGGAGTGGGGCAGCCCAGCTGGTTAGGGATGCTCACAGGTATTCTCCCATTGCATCGGAAGTTGAGCTAAATGATTAAGAAGACTTTCCTAAGTCCGGATGGGAGGTGTTGGTGGTTCAGTGGTGGAATCCTTGCCTTCCGTGTGGGAGATCCAGGTCTGGGCCCTGCCGATGTACCTCAAGCACAGCTACCACCGATCCATCAGTGGAGGCTTACGTGATGCTATGATGCTGAACAGGTTTCAGTGGGGCTTTCAGACTAAGAAAGACTAGGAAGAAAAGCCTGGTGATCTTCTTCCAAAATATCAGGCGATTAAAACATGGTCACAATGATCCAATTTTGCCGTGTGTGGGGTCACAGGATGGCATGGAGGCCAGCTCAAAGACAACTAACAACAAGTTCAGATGACCAGACCCATATCTACCCAAAATGTGAAGACATTTGTCGCACAGGAAGGCCACCTCTTTGAGGAAAGCATGGATTCAAATCTAATATGGCCTTTAAAGTAGAGAATGGAAAAACTGCTTACTTCAGACTTGGGATCATCAGTTCTATGTGGTACATCTCAGCCACGTGTATCACCCAGACACACTCGACATCAGTGGGGTAGTTTGCAGGATACCAAGGACTGGAAAAGGATCCTGAGGGGCTTGAAATTACTCCACCACAAGAGTTACTTCCTCCTGGAAGAGCAGACAAGAGACCCAGGGCTGGCTTCCTCATGCATGCACCTTGCATTCTTCCAGGCAGAGAGTCCAGAATTCCTTCACCCTCAACAGTTTGGAATCACAAAATGGGAAGTGATCAAGCTGGTAGTAGACTTAGGTGTAGCTTGGATGGTGTGAGTGACTGTACCCCAGAAAGAGAATAAGGGAAGAGGAAAGATGTGTGACCGATAGGACTGTAACGCTGGTGGTTAGGTGTGACTGGAAATGGGATTGGACATACACCCATGGCATGTGTGTGTGGGGGTGCAGCCTAGACTTCATTACTGTTGTCCCCAGCCTCCTGCCATGTAGCCTAGCTCAGTTCAAATGTAGATGAACCACCCACGGTGAGGGCTCCATCTCTCCCATTCCTTCCTCTCATGGCAGCCAGGACAGACAGAAGTCTATCCTGTCTTTATGAATTATCAAAGTGATTTTGATAATTTCATACTCTACAGGATGTACTTTCAGTAAAAGAGAGTTACCTTGCGGTGTTTGGCCTTGAGGAATGGCAGCTGCAGGAACAAAGAAAACCAGGAGAGAGCTTAGTGTCATAGAAGCAACTTACACTTAAGTAAATGAATGAACCTCTTACTATTCCGGAGTTCTAATAAGATGTGTGAACTTGCTGATTGTTTTTCCTCCCTGATCTGACTTGGACCCTCTTCCCTAATTTCAGTGGATTCACCAGGAGATCCCAGACAACATTCAGTTACGTGGCTTCATTCACCTTAAGTGCTCAGGTCAAGGGCTGTCCCGAGACTGACCGGTCATTAGGGAATTACCCACAGTGATGTCACCAGGCATATGACCATCCCATTGTGTCTGTGGAAACCAACTGAGTGATGAAATCCAGAAAGGCAGCAACCAGGAAGCTGAAGGCTGTGGTGGGAAAGGGCACCTGTACAGCATTCCATTGAAGTAAGATCGACCTCAATCGGGAGCTCCAAGCCCAACCAGTAAGGCTCTTCTTCGTCCTTTCATGTCTTTTGGCTTTGATTTTCTACGTAGCGTCTGTTTCTATGTTCTGTATGTATCTGCAATCTCCACTTCAGGGCAGGCCAAGGGAAGGGCAGGTGTGGAAAGTCTGTTCATTGAGTGGCTGGTGTTGATTGGAGTTTGACACAAAGAGCTTAGTGGGGAAGGTGAAGTGAATGGATTGGTGCCTGTGAGAACCCCTTTATCTCCACTGTCATACATGGCTTCAAGGTGAGCAGTAGTGAAGGTGACAGACACTACCAGCTGCTTGTCCTCTATGGACTTTTATCAGAAAGGGTATTGGATATCAGCAGAACTCTTTCTTTTTTTCTTTATTATTATTTTTTTTATATTAGGATTTGGGTGAAGATTTACAGAGCAAATTCACTTTTCATACAGCAGTTCACATATACTTTGTCTCATGTCATTGACCAAAATTTACAATGCAGCAGCTCCCCTCCCACTTCCTCCCCATAGTTACCTCCTCCCAGTGTCCATCCCTTCATACTCTTCTGCACCCTGAGCTATCTCCCTGTGCATAAGCAGCCCTTCCTTCTCCCATGATTGTTCTCTCCAGGGCGTGTGTCTACTTGAGGTAAATGTTTAACTCACATGCCTGTACTTTGTTTGGCTGGAAACCACAGTTGTGGGTTCAATTCCAGACCTGAAGGGCAGCTAGGGGCCATAGTCTCAGTGGTTACACCAGGCTCTATTGGACCAGCAAACCTGGTCCCCACCTTCTTTTTTTTTTTTCCTCCAAATGATTTTGAGTTTTGTTCCACATTGGTCTCCCTCTTTATACAGGATCTCCTACATCCCTACCAAGTGGATGGCAGTGGTAGCTGGGCACCATCTAGTTCTTCTGGTCTCATAGTTGTATAGGTTGCAGATCGGATGGTGTACCAGTCACTAGGACTGATTGTTTCCATTAATTTTGGTTTTCTTCTTTCTTCTTGACGAGGAGAGACCCGTTGTTGCATCTAGATGTCAGCTTCCTAGCTTTTAAGGTCCCAGTTGCTACTCGCCAAAGTAGTAGGTGGAACAATGTTTTGTATAGTATGTTATGCCAATTGAGCTTGATGTCCCCTGCGACTATGGTCCCAAGCCCGCAGAATCAACTACTCGGTCCCTCTGGGTAGCTGGCTGTGACCAAGCAATGACCATAACCTTGCCCCTTGTCAGCTCTACTATACACCTGGGAATTCTGATCATTCACATGAACTTATAGGCCCATTGTCTGCCAACCCTATATATGATCTTGGATACACTCTCCATTTAGACATACCTAATTTCAGCAGAACTCTTTCTAAGATGATGTATCTCATAAGTGACTTTGTCTTATTAATATGCCCAATATACAAGCATCTTCTCAGAGAATTAGATGGCAAAGACCCTATTTTGCTGTGCCTAGGTCGGTATACAGTGCTCTTTGAAGAATGACTGGCTGAATTAACGCCGACAGTGGGATGCTATGTGCACACACTCTGTGTCTGGTTTGAATCTTGGGTTTGGGAGGCCACCAGAAGAAAGTCTGCCATTCCTCTACCCCTGCTGTGCCAGTTCAGGCCAGGAGGCCCAGAGAAGAGCCCCAAATGGTTTCACTGCCCACCACCAGTCTGCTCTTGACCCACTGGGAGAGACTGTAGCATTTAAGGTCAGCTTTGCTTTCCTTCGTATTTTCATTTTTCAACCCATATCCCTAACTAAAAACAAGAACAATAACAACAACAACAAAACAATCCCACTGCCATTGAGTGGATTCTGACTCAAAGCAACCCTATGAGACAGAGTAAAACTGCCCACAGAGTTTCTAAGGCTGTCCACCTTTACGGAAGCAGATTCCCTCATCTTTCTTCTGTGGAACAGGTAGTGGGTTCATGTTGCTAACCTTTTCGTTAGCAGCCAGATGCCTTAAGCACTGCACCACCAGAGTGCCTTCTCCATGTCCCTGAGAGGCGAGTATTTCCACCTTCCCTACTCTCTATTTCAGCCCTCTTCTCCTCCTTTCCCCTCCTGCCCTTCCTTGCTCTGTTGTCCAGAGAGAAGCATTTGGAATGTGATTTCATTTGAGAAATAAGGCTCTTAGCTCGTTCTCTGAGCCATTGATTGTCCATCTTGGTTGCACACTGGAATCACTTTAAGGTGACTGATGCCTGCTGCTGCCCTCGGAGGTTCTGCTGTGACTGGTACGGGGTGTAGCCGGGACATTGGGGATTTTAAAAAGCTCTGCGGGTGATTCTAGTGTGTGGCCAGCAATTGACATCAGTGGTCCAGGCCCCTGTCTGCCAGTGTGCAGGTCAGGGCAGAGGGCAGATTTCTCATTAACTTTGCAGAGACTGTGGAAAATCAGTGTTGAACCTACCTGGGAGTGTAGGGGTCACATCTGGAGTCCAGTCTCCAGCACCTGCACATATGAAAAATAAAAAGAAAAGTACATTAGAAAATCGGGATTGAATTCTCTGAGGACAGAGAAGTGGTGGCTTTCTAGGGAGGGTGGGTCCTAAGTGGGCAGGCTTCACGGCACATAAGCAAGAACAAGGCATGCTTGCATTCTGGACAAGCAGCCTCAGACCCAAGAGAGGGGCAGAGAACAGGCAGCTGACATGTGGCCCTGTTGTGTGTGTCCTCGGGACGGAGTTAGGCTTTCAGTGTTCTCTGTCTACCTGGCTGAAGGGGCATTTGTCGGTTGGACCACCATCCTTAGCTTTCCTGGCCCTGCACTGTGCATGGTCTCCAGCCATCACTAAGACACCAGTATCAGGAATCCAACTATGGGACAAGAGGCTACCTGAGCAGACAACGCTGGCATCTTCATGGTGGCTGCAGTTGTGGTCTGACCAGCCAGAGCTGGGGCACTGGCCAAGGTGGTTCTCACTTCCTGAACACTGAATGTTGTCCAGGAGGATGTCTCCAGAGCCTGGACCAAAGTGGGCCTTCCCAGGGGCAGCGATGGCCCGTCCACACCCGAGCTGTCGGCACACGACCTCAGCTTCATTCAGGTCCCAGAGGTCATCACACACAGTGCCCCAGGCCCCTTGGTGGAGAACTTCTACGCGGCCTGAGCACTGGCCTGAGCTGCCCACCAGCCGCAGCACTGGTCCATCTTCTAAACAGAGCAGAATTTTATTTTTGAGTTTGGGGAATGTGATGGTTAAAGTTATGTGCCAGTACAGTTAGGCCATGATTCTTAGTGGTTTGGAAGACACTATGTAATCATCTTTCATTTTGAGCTCTGATGTGAGCAGCCAATCAGTTGAAAGGGGAGTTCCCTGGGGGTGTGACCTGCATCCAATATACGTAGCTGTTCTGGCAAATCTCTTACTCTCAATCCTGCCTCTGACTCATCATCCTCTGATCTCTGGTTCTTGAGATGTGAACCAGAAACCTGCTGCCTGACCCTGGGATTCACCTCTCTCCCACAACCCCATGAGCCAGCAGCCTGCTGCCGGACCTGCTGATCTTGGGTTCATCAGCCATTGCAACCATGTGAGTCAGGAGATGCCTCCAGCCTGACACCTGACCCATGGATTTGGGACTTGCCAGACTCCACAGCTGTGGGAGCCATTTCCTTGAAACAAATATCTCTATAGATTAACATATATGCTTCACTGGTTTTGCTCCTCTAGAAAACCCAGCCTAAAACAGGGAGTTTTAAGTAGAAAGTGATTTCTACCTCCCAAATTTGTGGCCAAGGCCAACATAAGAGCCAAGACTTAAAGTTGTGTTGATTTCATAACAGGCTGGGCTTAAGAGCTTTACAGTGAGACTGAGGTGGATTTAATCTCAGCTCTACTTCTTCCTAGGTATGTAAACTTGGATAAGTTGCTCCATCTCCTTGGGCCTCGGTTTCCTTTCACACCTCTCACGGCCACCACATACTGGTTGCTGCAGATCTTGCCACGTGGTGCAGATTTTTCTCTGAGTTATAGTGCTGGTTTCTAGGGAAATGGGTTCCAAGCTGATTTTTTGGATGTGTCCATTGTGCTTGGTTAAGTGAAATGTAAGCTCCTGAAAGGCACACAGGCCACAGACTGAATGTGACTCCATAGAGCCAATGGGAATGGAAATTTCTGGGCTGATTGGCTGTGACCAGTTGCAATTGTCTGTCGTGTCCTAGAGACATCCCCGGGATGGCCCTTCTTCATTGTACCCACACTCTTGGCTCCGTCACACTGGCCTTCCTTCTGGTTTTCCAGCATGCCCAACTCTTTTTCCTTCTTTTTCCCCTTCCTTGTTCATCTCGTACACTCCTCAGAGGCCATGCATTCCCATCCAACTCACAGCAGCACCTCCTCCAGCCTGGCACCCTCAAATGTGCCACCTGGTTTTTTATTCCCAGCCCCACCACTACCAACATCATCCTGTTTATTGATTTGTTTCTTGTGTCTTGACTCCCACCCCCACATAAATGTAAACTCCATGAAGGCAAGGAACTGTTCTGCTTACCCAAATCCCAAGAACTTAGTAGGACCACAGGAAATATTGTTGGGTGAGCAAATACGGCCTTAAGCCAATGCATGGTCTGCATTTCAAAGTTGGCACTTCCTGTGTCTCCCCAGGACAGAGTCTCCAGCATACTTTGAAGGTTAAACATACAAGGAATGCCTTTACTCAGAAAAAGATCACAGCCAAAACTGCAGCCAGGAACTAATGGCCCGGTTTCTAGGTGGCCTACAAGAGTTACAGCCCTGGAAACCCAGTGGGAGTTGGGATGGGTCGGAATCAGCCCCAAGCATCAGAGGTCTCATGACTATCAGGCAGTGTGCTGCAGGGAGCAGATTTGGCCTGAGTCTGGAATGACTGCCTTGAAGGCCATGGCTGATAGGAGTTCCTGAGCCTCTCACTTGGGTGGGTCCAGGGTCCAATGCATGCAAAATATGGGCCAGCTGATGGAGGGAAGTGCGTTCTTCTCAGGGGAGAGTTTACCTTCCAGCTTTCAACACTCTGGATAGTCTTCACATGGCTACTGGTGGCAGATGCAACCCCAAGACCCTTCATGTTGTGTGCCACTGAGTCAATTCTGACTCATAGCGACCCTATAGAATGGAGTAGAACTGCCCCACAGGGTTTCTCCCAGGCTGTACATCGTTACAGGAGTAGGTCACTAGGTCTTTTCTTTCACATAGAAGCTGGTGGAGTCAAACCACCCCACCTTTCAGTTAGCAGCTGAGTGCTTCAGCATTGTGCCACCAGGGATTCTTAGACCCTTCATAGCATACAGCTTTTCCCCATGAAGACGAGTGGTCTGGATATTTACATCCAGGCTGGACGTGGGTGACTTATTTCAGCTGCCCATGTGACCTTCTTAGTGGGAAAAGCTAGGAGCTATGGAACAGGGATGATTAAATGTGGGGATGTTTAAAACTAAACGCCAACATCTGCTACTAGATGAGTCCCTCACATTAGGAAGTTGTTCCATCTTTTAAAGACCAAAAACTACTCAGTCTTCCTACCTGACTCCCTTTCGCTCTGTGGGATGGCATTGAACAGAGCGTAAAAGCCAACGTTGGTTATCATTGAGTCACTTCGGAACACCACCGTCATGATGTCTGCGGAGGAGAAAAAGGCCACAGTGGCTGGGGCACAGAACTTCCCCATGGAGAGGGAGGCAATCCTGGGCCCATCGAAGATTTCAACCCAGTCATAGGGACAGCCAAGGATATCTTCCAATCTGGAGGGAACAGAAGTGGAGGGTTAGTGGCAGGTTAGAAACATTCTAGATCCTAAAAGCTTAGAAAGTGTGATGCTCATAAACCAAACCAAAACCACAGATGCTGCTGTCGAGCCAATTCTGACTCCCAGAGACTCCATGTGTCACACAGGAGACTGGTCTCCACGGGGCCTTCTTGGCTTCCATAAAGGAAGTCCTTTATGGAAGCAGATAGTCAGGGCTTTCTTTCATGGTGCCGCTGGGTGGGTTCAAACCATCAACCTCTAGCTTAGCAGGTGAGCATAAACCATTTGTGCCAGCCAGGGAGTTTTATGATGATCGTAACAAGCTCACCCACTGCCATTGAGTCAATTTCGACTCACAGCAACCCCCACTGGGTGTCCGAGGCTGTAAATCTTCATGGAAGGAATTTGCCTCATCTTCCACCCACAGAGGAGCTGGTGGGTTTGAACCATCGGCCTTCTGGTTAGCAGCCAAATGCTTTACCCACTATGCCACCAGAGCTCCTTATGACAATCATAGGAATTGGATATTTGGATTATGTTTCAAACTACACATTAACATATAAAATATGAATTAAATTTCTCACCCGCCTTATTTTCAGAACTTTTATTTTCTTTGCTGGAGGAAAGTGTGAGGTTCATGATTACAACTTTTTAACAGCAATTAAAATGTTACTCTATATCTCTATGCCTTGAGTCAGAGTTGACTCTGTGGTAACGTGTCTGGTTTTGGTTTGGTCTGTGAGTGGTACTTTTGAAGAATGGGTGATGCACAGACTTTGGAGCTGTGAGTTCAAAGTTCTCATCTGATGGGCTAATTGTGTCCTTAGAGTTTTCATATTAACAGAGATAACATGTTTCTAGGGCCTTCTTTGGCTTAGGTCATGTCTGACTTCATGACCTTTGTATAGTCATGACTGAACAACAATTCAGGGCATGTCATAAGCTGGGTTGTCATAGTGTGCCACAGTATTGCTGTGTGTGTAACATGATGTGTGTGAACCACAAAAAGAAGAAGGGCTTTGGGCAGGCTACCTGTACAGAGGCACGCGTGGGTGAAGAGCTGGGGCTTCGCCAGTTCTAGACGATTTAGCCTTAGGCAAGGCAGTTAACTTCGCTTAGCCTCAGCTTCTGAATCTCTTCAATGGGGATGACTAGGGCGCCTATCTCACAGGGCTGTAATGACCCTGAAATGGGGCAGTGAGTATGAAGTATACAGTACACTGGCTGGGTACACAGCCAGTGCAAAACAGGGCCAGCTATTGTATGTCATGGAGATAAAAAATGGTAGTGACTGGGAAGGACAAGGGAAGAAGAAAGCCTAAGAGGAAAATAATGGTATGCAGTATACAAGGGCAAAGCCAGTAAGGAGGATTTTTGTGAATGTTTAGAAAGAAGAATGATCAATGTAAGGTTAAACCAAATATGGTAAGGAAAAAAACCCTCAGGTGTTGAATTTTCAGCCTATAGGTAACTCACAGCACGCACTAAAAAATTCACTTGAAAGTCAACCTGGAAAATCTATGGAATTCTAGGTTCTTCTCATCTTGCCCCTTAACGTTTCCCACTAAAGGAAGTATCTTTACTGTGACCTTACAGGCCAATATCCCTATTAGATAAGGAACATTTTCCTACTTCAAACTTGGAATCAGGAGCTCTATGCGGAATTTCTGGTCCACGTGGATCTCCCAAACGCACTGCACGTCTGTTGGGTAGCTTTCCGGATACCGCGGACTGGAAAAGGAGCCAGAGAGACTAGAAATGACTCCTCCACAAGAGCTGCTTCCTCCTGAAACAACAGGAGAAAGGGCGTCAGGACGTGCCCCGTGCATCCCTGCTGCTCCCACAGCAATGGGAATGGGTGGCCACCCACACACGCTGTCTGAATTGATCTGTAGCCTCACCGCTCTTTGGGAGGGAGTCTCCACTCTAATTCTTACAAAGAAAGTGTTGTATGTGTCCTTTCCGTTCACTGTCTTCTCCTTTTACAGGGGGAGGACTCTACCTTGCTAGGAGAGACAGTGTTTTTCTACGGTGAGAGCGTGGGAAGGGGAGACAGAGAGGGGCTGCATGCACATGTGTAAGGAGAAAATT